ATAGATTCATTTTGATTATACAAACGAGTGATTGGAAAGTAGACAGCGTAAAAATCGTTCCTACGAACGAATTAGCGCGAAATGCAATCGTAGAAAAATATGATCACGGCTGGGAACGAAAGACTGCGATTATTTAAACAATTTAGGAACCTGTTTTCATTTTCGTAAGTCCGTCTCATAAATTCAAATTGTTTTATTTATTCTCGTATTGGTCTGCAGTACGCGATTGTCAATAATGACTGCTCGTTCTTATTTTTGTTGTATCACGTTGCACATATTCTCTGATTTCTAAAGATATGTTTTCACGCGACAATAACTATTATCACTGTTTTTTATGCAAAGTAAAACTTGTAAGGTATCAATTTAAAAAACGATATTTATTAAGAACGTCATTAATTCTTTAAACATTATGCTATGCATTTTACTGTTGATATTTTATGCATTTTTGTCCACTATATGTATTTTTTACGAATTTTACATACTCAATTTTTAGTCGTTATAAATGCATAAAATCTGCAGTCTAAATAGTTATCACTTTCATAATGTGACTGTCGTGCGAATCAGTCAATCCACTATTGTAACAATGCGACGGTCTACTTTTCACGACTATTACTATGATGACGGCATAGACATGAGAGAATAGACCTCAAATTGAAGAAATCAGCAGGAATTATAATATTACAATTAAAAAATTATAAACGTTACTGATGTAATAATTCATTGAATCATTGATTGCTTTGATACAATTTATACAACTTTATACTTCAAATATAATGAAAATTAACTGAACAATGAAACAAATTATATATTCAAAATAATGAATAAAAGTCAGCATAAATTTTAGAATTCATAAACATTAATACATCAAGGATAATAAAAAATCATTTGTTCCAATCAAATATACTTTAAGAACAACATATACATCAGAGATTAATAAGCTGACATATATAAACGAATCCGGACATCAATTCGTGTATTTTCTACGGATATAAGAGAATAAACCGAACGTCGAGGAGAAAAAGAAACTCTCCCACTGGTTGTCAGTCATCTAATTTCAACTCTCCCATTTGAGCTTTCAATCTGTGTTCATATATCTATGCATGTCGATTACTTCGCTGTCAGAATTTACTGTCGCGTGGAAACTTAGCTTTATTATACGTTCATTTAATTATGTAAAGAAAAAAATACCGAGTGTCCGAGGCATCTTACAGCTTCTTGTGCTCTTTAGTGAATTTCCTATGTAATAACTTGTTTTCTTTTAATTAAAACAGTGCTTCTAAAGCTTCATTTAGTCAATAATTGGAAAGGCCTTAGAATTAAGAAAGTTTATATAAATCGTCTAATACTTGAAAATCTAGTCTTTCAAGGTATTCGTACTTCCCTATTACACACCTCTTGGTACATAGGTACAATATATAGATGGATATATAGTATATATAGAACATCAGAATATGTAAAAAGTTCGTGTAGAGCCCGTGATCGAAAACATCGTCTCTTTAGTGTAGTTCATTTCGAAAATACGTGGTCTAGTACGATTAGCATAAAGGAAAGTATTACATCCTTTGAAAAAACGTACTCTTACCTATGGAGTGTTAAATGAAATTAATGTAGCGTGCAGATGCACATATTGCTTTACTTTCAATTTGGTAAATAACGTTACTTGAGAATATTTATTAATATAATACTTTCGTTTGTGCTATAATACTTGTTTTTATGTATAGATAGGCAGAAATACATGTAGGTACACACACATATACGTGTTATATACAAATGTGCGGACACTCGGTAGATTTTGCGCGAACTCTTTATAATTATTAATCATAAAGACTCATCGACTGGAGCGGAATTTAAATATATTCCTTATTAACATTTTCTTAAATACTTTCGTCACCGTGGTCTCTGATTGTAGTGTTGTATAACTCTTTTCTACGGTTCAACTTTCGTTTATATTAATTAATACTTATTAGGCCTAATCGCACTTTCTTAATAATTAATGCAATCAACAAATCCTTTTTAATTAGCAAAATATGTATTTTCATGTTCAGAAAAGATCCGTTTCTCTCTAAACAAACGAACACGTTCAACGATGCAACAGAAATAGTAAAGTAATTTATAATGAATTGTTTCATTACACAAATGTAGTATAAAATAACAAAGATTGTATACACTTATCACTTCCACTTCTCGTTTGAATACAAAATCTTTTTATCACTATGCTTTTTGTAATTATGCCCCTATGATAAAGATTCGAAAAATAGTGTCGCAACAGCTTAATATTATTCATTTAATGAGTATTGTTCTCAAACAATATTTGTATTGTAGTCTACAATTGAAATAATACATTTCTATCAATGTTGTAAGTTACTTGTGTCAACTTAAAAAAGAAAAGATCGAATTTCCATCACATATATAAATTCCTTTCGTGTCATCAAAATAGATTTTATAGAATACCAATTAATCGAATCTGCAAGTAATCATTTATTGGCAGCTATGTGTGTGTGTGTGTGTGTGTGTGTGTATATATATATGTACTCGTATATATATTTATCAATAAATACTATATGCGTTTAAGTAAAAAATCTATCGTGTGTGTCAGAATATAAATACTTTTCATTGCCCCATTGTTTAAGTATCATGTCCCGTCGCAATCAATTAAGCATAGCATTCGTAGTTAAACCAACAATCGTCTTTGGCTTATCGTCTCTGCTCGAAGTAAATAATCCATTATCGTACAATTCCTGATTGAGACTAGGGTCAGTTGCCCTACGGTTGATACAATGTTCCAATCATCTTTATTGGCAAATCAATTTATGTGCCTAATAATCATCCTATTAAATTAAATTAATAACAAATGTGAGGAATTAAAATTATTAGGGCAACTAGTATTTCATGTTGACAGTTATCAAGTTACTTTTTATACAAGTCTTTCGTCCAGACATTCCAACAAGATTTAATCAAGTACTTCATAAGTAAATAGTTCTGTAATGATAATAAAGAAATATTTTACAAACGAAATTGAATAATAATTTGATTCAATGAAAATTCAAACAAGAAACTTAAAAGCAAGGAATAGTTGTCAACACTACATTAGGCCGACTATAAAATGAATTACTGAATTAGTTTGTGAATTTCACATTGATTGACGCATCCTATTCCTATAATTCTAACTCACACGACAGTAGATAAAAGTTCTAACTGATACGTAATATGAATTTATCTCAAATTAGCGTACAGTAAAATACCTATTCGGAATTCTGCCTAGTATGGTTCCAAAATCAATCATTTTAATGTAAATGGAATCACATTACACGGAATGTTGGGGAGAAAAATACAAGCATATCGCGTTGGTTAAAATTCATTATTCTATAATTTGAAAACTTATGAATATTTTTCGAAGAGAAATTTGTGTTTTAGGAAGCTGTAAAAATTGTATAGTTTATAATATGTTGGGAATCTGCGAATTTTTTCAACGTTTTTCATATGTTTGAATCAGAGATAAAAATTGGAAGGTTCCCCGATGGTTAGAATTTATTATTCCGCAATTTGAATATTTGCTGAATTTTTTCCAACATTAATCGCAGATCGAATGACTTGAAAAAATTCTCACATGCATATACTACTAGTCTAGTAGTACATCTCTTGAGTTTTTTTCATTAATTTTCATCCACTAGAATCGGAGAAATTTAAAAAATATTGGAAGTCGTGTTTCATGAGATACCCGTTCAAGTCTAGTACTATTACATTATTTTGTACGAAATCCCGAATTGGAATTCTATTGAACGCTGTTTGAGATTAGATTCATTATTGCTTGCATACTCGAGTTAGAATTGTGATGTACAGCTCGGGACAATGATTCTCGACTCGTTTTTGATTGTGTTAATTTTTTCTAGGGGTACAAAACCAGTAGAAAGTAATAAATTGATGTACCATTTTTTTAATGTCCAATCTGGCATTTACATGTTCCTTATTACAAAATGAAGATAAAAGAAATGCAGATTTATTGATGATTCTAATAGTTTTCGTTGAATGAAGGACGTTTATTATGTTATTTATTTACATAATGTGTATAGTTTTGATTTTCATTTATATTCAATTGGAGAATTAAATTACATTAGAAATTATTTTTCAATAAATAAGTTAAAAGTATTTTGATTTTAAAGAAATCATGCCAAAATTCAAAACGCGCCAGAACGAGCACTGAAAAAATTTGGCATAGGTTTATTAATATTTCCGGTTCTTGTTCCCCTAGAAGAAATTAACACAATTTGTCCCAAGCTGTACTTTCACCTGAATAGGAGACGTCGACATACTGAATAAATTGAATATTCATTTGTTAGAATACCGAATGTTGCAACGTCGAAAGGAATTTGCATAAAACAAACGGTATATTACGATATTGTCTCTATAATGTTCGGTTTAAAAATATTTTATTTCACGCGTTCAACAAGATAAAGTACTGACAAATTCAACAGATAATTTACATACTTGTTAAATGTTCAAGGTACGTCGCGTATTTCTAACATTTTTTATTCGTTTTTCGCCTGACCATGTGCCGTTCAGCAATAGAGCTTCATTCTCCCTTAACTTCGTGTATGTATCCTCGTTACTTTAATATCTACAATGTGTACACGTGTAATTTTAACGTATAACGCTAGAAGTCATGGCACGCGCCACGCTAGAAGTGGAAGAGAAAATATTTGATGTTCGTCATTTGATTTAACCGCACATCCTCTTAAATATACTTTTCTCAGTTTAAGTAATAGTCTCGGTGCCACCTTTACGCGAACACTTTCTATATTTCAGTTGTTGGGTGTATAAATTAATTCACTGCCATTTTTTCATTTATTTCCTGCTTGAATTAATTAACACACTCGATACAGAAAGCAGCGAGAAATGAATCTGACTTTTAGTACGGATTAACAGAATCCAAATCAGGAAAAGTTTATAAGTAGCAAGAACGAAACCTAGGCATTTCTAATCAAGTTTGAAATTGGCTTAATTTAAATTGGAGACATGGTACTCCTGACAGTCGAATTGGAGCTCGTGCTGTTAGAGTTCTCCATACAATACGGCATTACCTTTCCATGTACACAGGAGCCGGACGAGTTGTTCAGTATCAACAAGAGCAAACCGGAAACAGCGGCAAGCACGCCTGCGGACATCAGGCCAAGGGCTGGGAGCTTCTTCGAGGAAAGGACGGGTCCCTCTTCCAGCTTGAGGTAGCACAGGCCAGGGAGGATGTAGGCTAACGGCACCGCTGCCAGAATACCATTCAGTTCCAGGACCACCCCGAGGCAATCCGTCGACATCGAGATCAGGTATGCGACCACGACTATACCCAGGGTAATTATCAAATACTTTCGATCAGAATTCGGTACGTACGCCGTATGGTCCTCCACTTCGTCAGTTCCCTTGATCGCTGTCAGGATTACCTGCGAAATAGTTTGAAGTTTGAGTTTTACTATAAGAGGAGACTAGAGACTACAATACAGATACATCCATATTGATATTGATTAGATGGATTATTTGAACCTTTAACAAAATTGTTTCAACGATTACTATCTCGTGTAAAAGTAGTAAAGTTTATAAGTTACTGCATTTTATAAGATATGTGGAAAAAATTGCTTTGACATTGAGATGAATGGTCTGAGGAAGAGAGTTACCATCGATTTTCTTTTTATTCTTGTGAAGAATTAATAACGGTTTAATAATCAGGCCGTTAGTGGTACATCAAATCTATATATAGAAAAGAGTTTCCTGACTGACTCATTCATTAACGCCTAGCAAAAACAATTGAACACCGATTTACTTGAAATTTTAAGGGGAGTTTCCTACCATGTTGGACGTGCTCAATAATGCAAGATTTTTCGAAATTCCATACCTGAGGATAAAATGTATTATTTTTTCTTTTACAGTACCTCTTTAAGATTGTGCTGACCATAAATTGAAACCGTCATACATGCTTGACATCTTGCAAATAAATAATTATAATCACATTAAACTCACTTGCAAAAAGCAGAAATTGGGAAAGCTCGTTTTGAAGTTATATCGATTTGAAATTAACATGTGTTCTTATAACGTTTAGTGAAATAGGGCTAAATTGCTATAATAAATCGGAAAAAGTTAAAGAAAAACTATTATCAGACTTTTGAAACTTTTTACAATAATAAATAAATTTGAATTCTCTACTTTAATTGATTACCTCTGAAAAACTTTGCTAAATTGATTCCTGAAATTTCTAAAAACTAGATTACTCTGTTAATAAGCCGGACGAGTTGTTCAGTATCAACAAGAGCAAACCGGAAACAGCGGCAAGCACGCCTGCGGACATCAGGCCAAGGGCTGGGAGCTTCTTCGAGGAAAGGACGGGTCCCTCTTCCAGCTTGAGGTAGCACAGGCCAGGGAGGATGTAGGCTAACGGCACCGCTGCCAGAATACCATTCAGTTCCAGGACCACCCCGAGGCAATCCGTCGACATCGAGATCAGGTATGCGACCACGACTATACCCAGGGTAATTATCAAATACTTTCGATCAGAATTCGGTACGTACGCCGTATGGTCCTCCACTTCGTCAGTTCCCTTGATCGCTGTCAGGATTACCTGCGAAATAGTTTGAAGTTTGAGTTTTACTATAAGAGGAGACTAGAGACTACAATACAGATACATCCATATTGATATTGATTAGATGGATTATTTGAACCTTTAACAAAATTGTTTCAACGATTACTATCTCGTGTAAAAGTAGTAAAGTTTATAAGTTACTGCATTTTATAAGATATGTGGAAAAAATTGCTTTGACATTGAGATGAATGGTCTGAGGAAGAGAGTTACCATCGATTTTCTTTTTATTCTTGTGAAGAATTAATAACGGTTTAATAATCAGGCCGTTAGTGGTACATCAAATCTATATATAGAAAAGAGTTTCCTGACTGACTCATTCATTAACGCCTAGCAAAAACAATCGAACACCGATTTACTTGAAATTTTAAGGGGAGTTTCCTACCATGTTGGACGTGCTCAATAATGCAAGATTTTTCGAAATTCCATACCTGAGGATAAAATGTATTATTTTTTCTTTTACAGTACCTCTTTAAGATTGTGCTGACCATAAATTGAAACCGTCATACATGCTTGACATCTTGCAAATAAATAATTATAATCACATTAAACTCACTTGCAAAAAGCAGAAATTGGGAAAGCTCGTTTTGAAGTTATATCGATTTGAAATTAACATGTGTTCTTATAACGTTTAGTGAAATAGGGCTAAATTGCTATAATAAATCGGAAAAAGTTAAAGAAAAACTATTATCAGACTTTTGAAACTTTTTACAATAATAAATAAATTTGAATTCTCTACTTTAATTGATTACCTCTGAAAAACTTTGCTAAATTGATTCCTGAAATTTCTAAAAACTAGATTACTCTGTTAATCATGTACCTGAAAACTGTGTATTACAACAAATCGAAAAATCAATAATGTAAAAGTAATATACTATAACAACAGTGTTGCTCAAAGCGGATGTAAGCTTCGCATGAAATCACTAACGGCATCTCTTTGAAATGAAACGGCGTATAGTTCCTTGGTCGAGGGCAGAGCAGAGAGCAAAGTCAATCAAAACATGTCGAGACGCGGACGTTGACGGCTGCATTTTTCCGTTTTAACGGAAATATACGTTAAACTATTTCAATATGAGTCTGTTATTTTGTCTTTCTAATAAAAGAAGATTACAGTAAGAACAAAAAATATTTATTGTTCACTGTACAATCAAAATCCATCACAGGAAAAGAGGATTGCTATTTAAAAGATCTAAACTGATAGCGATATGTCTAAATAATCATGACCAAAGGAAGAATTAGGATCAAAGCAAGATCGAAATCAACTGTCCCTAAACCCTGCAATTTGAACGTAAAACATTTTTTGGATAACACTCAGTTGTGCGACTATTCGAGGTGAACGAAGTTATTGCCCCACTTTGTACATAAAAATCAGAAAATATACTATTATTAGAACACGTATGACCTTTTGTAGAGATTACATAGTCAAAATAACCTTAACCTGATGACGTATCAAACTATTTCCGGTGTCAAAATATCACATTATGTGTACTAAAAACTAATTTTTGATTTTTAAAAAATTTCACCCTTAAGATGGTTAAAAAAAACAAAATGTATTCCTACAAATGTCTTTATCTCTCTCATATAACATGAGATACTGACTTGGCTTTGCTTATAAAAATTTACTATAGAAATGGCTAAAATTCAATTCTATGGATTTCTTGAAATTCCACCCTTAAGTAAAATGTATTTTTATGACTTTCCTTATGTTTCTTATCTCGCAAAGTTTTACGTAGTTTGCATCAAAGTGAGTTCATCGAATAGCTTAATAATCTTAGCACCTAGGGGAAGAACTACAAATGTTGTGTACAAAGAGGTACTTCACTAAAAAACGAATTCTATGACTTTTCACCATAACAAAAGTGTTCCAGGCGAAACTGCGACAGGGAATGCTAGTTGCGTATAAAAGTAGTAATGTTAATTGTAAGTCTATTAAGTCAATAAATTCTGAATATTAAGTATGGGAAAAGTTGCTTTGATGTTGACTGTGAAAAAGGGTTACCATCGATTTCCTTTTGATCTTTGTGTAGAAATTATTAACGGTTAAACAATCAGGTTTTCAATGGTTAAACAAATATGTGATATAGCAGATACAATCTTTTCCTTTAAAAATTGGAAGTTTATAAAAAAATAAAAAAGGACACAGAATCGATTGGCAATGTTGCGCTTTAAATTAAGTCGACACAATTAATTTCTCACTGCCTGGTCGACATCGCACTTCACTTTGTCAATTATATTCAGCATGCATTTCAATTTACGTGGTTTCCATCGCTCGAGTTTTCCCATTTCCTTCCCACATTTCATTCCCCTATTATTCACAAGTTCTCCCAATGGTCTTCATCGAACCTTCATCTCTTATTTCCATTTATTCACAATAGTAAGATTCTCTATGAATAGAGTAAGAATGTTTATACAAATTCCTATTCTTACAAATAAAATTAAAAAGACGAAATATATGTAAACATTCATTTTCTCCTCGAGGTATTATACATCCTATTTTTCTTTTTATATTTTGTATTTATTTATATATTGAATACTGTCTCTTTAAATTATTAGAAATTGCCGTTAATGTATAGTATCCACAGTCCATTTATGAGATAAGAGATAGAGCTTTTTAAATCAATAAAATTGAAGCAAAAAATAATTCTGAATAAATTATTTATTTTTTTTTAACATTCAATTTCTTTGCCACAATTCAGTTCCCCATTATTCACGGCCTCTCCCAATGTTAATATAGCTTTTTATCACATTTCTTAAACTTTTGGCAGAGATCTTACGGTTTATGTTCATACAATCTTAAAGAAATGGAAATCTGTTGGGGCAGGTCAGGTGAATATGCCGGATGAAGTAAAGTTACATATTTCAGATTCTTAAGCTTTTTCACTGTCCACTGTGAAACATGTTTATTATTCTTTAGAATGATTGCCCCTCTTCGATTGATCAGTGCCGGTTGTTTGATTGATAATGTTTGCATCTTCAAACAACGACTTTTCGGCGTTTAGATTTTGTACAAATATCTATGGTGGCATAAATACACCTGATCACCCTTTTACACGGCATTTTTTGTACACATTTTCAAAATTATGCGGTTTGCATTAATACGATTCACTCCGAGTTACACGATTGTTTTTAAATGATTTGTTCACAATTATGCAATTTTGTTAATCGATTTATGCGACGTATACAGGGTGGGACAATAACTATTACCACCTCAAATATTTTCTAAACTATAAGTTTTACAAAAATATTTCTTGGAACAAAATTATATCATCATCCATTAATTATCAACAATTTATCATTTCACCATCCATTCCACGTGAGTAACGATTAAGTGTATTAATTGTTATTCATAATAACGCACGAACAATAATTTCCTTGCATTGTTATTTATGTAGTTTGTAAAACGCTTCGTACTGCGCGGAGCGCTTGTTCAAACGCGTGAAAGGCCGGGCGGCCGGATCCGAACCGACACTCCCGAGTCGGATCCCGCGTCAACCGAGCACTCTGATTGGTCCGTGTTTTTTGTTAATAACTCGGTAACCAAGCCCCATTTCGGATTTTGCCAAAGGAAATTGTTGTTCAGGAAGACCCTCCCTATCTGCCATTTTCGGCTCTTACACCCTTTACGGAACACTCTGTAGAAGGTTTAACACAATGAAGTCCAATTTCATTGAGAAATCTCCTCATCCATGTTAGTTTCGGGGGAGGAGCAAAGAGCGTTCGTGGAAATAAATTAACTTCGATGTAACTTGGAAGTGGCTATGGTAGAAGTTTAAGTACAAAGGTTTCCGATACGACTGCACGTGTGTAATGGATTCCCGTGCACGACTAGCTACGCTAAGAACAGTGGCGCCGTAGTCCCTGAAGCGTTCCGTGGCGCGCTGCT